GCCATAGTTGTTGGTTTGCTAAAAACCTATTTGGAAGAATTCCACTACCTTATACTGAAACAGAATGGCTTTTGACGAAATTGACCGTGCACTCCTTTATATGCCGGTATCGGTATTCAGCTAAATCGATGAAGTTTACACTGCTGTTGAAGTTGATGCAGCCTATCTTGACATCTCGAAGGCATCCCCTCTGTCGGACCATAACAACCTTATTTTAAACGCAAGAGCTTTGGTGTTCGTGGTCCGCTCATGGAGTGGATCTCATGTTTTCGTTACATTGGCGCTTGGTTTCATGACGCATGGAGCCCTGTCAAGCCGAAATCAAGCCGAATGCGGAGTACTACAAGCATGGGTACTGGAGCTAGGATTAGAATTTTTGTATATCAACGATATACCACACCTCATAAACTTCAACTGTTTATTATATGCTGTTGACATCAAGCTGTGGAGGACAGGCGGTAAATCGGATGAGCCTACACTGCTTTATGTCGATGTGGATATGGCTTATGGATGGTCAATAAAAAACCTACTTTGGCTCAACAAACAACATTATACTTTACTGGGATTAAGGCACCACTTTGATTAATGATACATACTGGGCAACCAGCGGCCACAAAATCCTTCAGCGAAAATAATATGAGCATTTTTATGTAAGCCGAGCTTGGATGTTTGGATTATTCTGTAAAGGTATCAAGGAAGGGTACTTACAACGTAGGCCGATTGCGGCATGCGTTGGACGATTCTTTCAGAAGCTTCTCCGCGCATTCCTACGTTTGCTCGTGTAATTGTAGTAACCTTCTAGCATCCAGGGTTGATAAGAAGTCTCTTCAGTTGGAGATACCACAACATTGGGCAAACAAAAAGTCAAGGGCTTGCATCATTAACCGTAGAAAAATGGCTGCCAGTGTTCAGGATCATTAGGGGATGACACATGCGATAACATATGGACCTAAATCTTACCTAACAAATTTTGAATTATGGGTAGAAAATCGTCACATATAGACTCAAACAGATAGATATCACACGCCCTGAAAGGCACTGTACGCGCGTTGCATCGTTTCGGGAATTGTCAGCAGTGCACATTCCATGGGACCCTGGTAGGTCTCAAACACGTATCTCGACTGTTGCCAGTCGGTGGTTGAGAACAATGAGCTACGGGAGACAGCAACTACCATCGTAAATAAATTAATGGATATGAGAAAGCACCGCTCACTATCCTCTGACGCAAGTTACAGCGACGCAGAGGACAGGATAGTCCCACACCAAGCGACGACCTTACACAACTTAAGCCCCCAATCAAATTATGGCATCATAAGCGGTTTGGTCTCCGTACGGAGTACAGAGGATATGACGCATTGCTACCTATACGAGCCGAATCTCCCTACTATTCCTCGGTAAATTTTGAATTACCCGAAATACTCGGGTCATCTGCTGTCGGAACTGAGTCATGAAAGCAATCCGAGATGTTACCATTTCAAGTGGGCTGTGGAAATTCTTGTTCCTACCCGTTTGTCATGCGTGGAGTGCTCACCCGGAATCTGCCATGTTATTGCCAACCTAATAGAGCTTAGTGCGCGAGCTAACTTGGTCATCATTTCTTTGCACTAACTTACATGTCTCATTGCTTATTGCCAAACACAAATGTCTACTAAGGAGTTAAATGCTGGTCAGATCTCAGATGCCGTTCCACGTTTTTCACCTTTTACTATTTTTCACCAGTAGGAGACTCGGTTAATACAGATGTTTCATTTGTCGTCATAACATAAGGAGTTACAATTCGTAATACATTTACCTCAGTGAGTCTACCTGTGTGAACTTACACTTCTCTGGCATTTCTCAGTATTTCGTGATATTCACCCTGAGCACTCTGCGGGACTTGTTAAACTTTACCTTCTTTACCCGTATTAAACCATAGTTCAATGGTTGCCCATATTGTTCATTTGGTGATCGGTTTGTATGATAAGTTCGGCACTTTTTTGTAAATGTTTCATCACTAATTGAGGTGACCTTCAGCGCGCTGTTTTGTACCTGTACTGAACAGCGCGATGCGAAACGCGCGGAAGGTGATAACACACCTGTAATATTACCACCAAGCTAAAAGAAACAGTCCGATCACCAATCAGAATATACTCATAGATCTCACTTTAGACCAGATTTACACCTGAGTAACCAAATGGACTTCTTGAGTATTTCAAGAAGCTTACTACTGAAAACAGTATGCTAAACATGCCCGGTGACGCAACTGAGACATCCCAGCTGCCAGACAGCAGTGTTGGCCATTCTAACGGTTACAGTCACACTTAAAATAACGTGGAAATTGCAATTACTAACAGTTGTTGGGATCTTAAGCAAAATAATTATATCAGGTGCTCATATTCGATACCATAAAACCAGTGGGAGAACGCAATTATGCAGTCCATGTAACTGCGGCAAAATGGTAACAACTGGTTTAAAGCTACTTAACATCGACTCATATAAACATAACGTGCCTTTCTATTTGTCTGAATGACGAATGGGCAGCGATGACGAGTGCAGTTTTGCAAGGGACGGACCGGATTATTGGACAACGAGGCCAGTAAAATATGGCGAGTGGCCAATAAGAAAATCCTTATCGAACTACCACTTTCGATTAATTTCGCCACCGTGGAGCACCCTGGCACACTATTGCAACTGTATATATGATAAATTTCCGGGGAAACTCTCTTTATGGTCTATGCCGACAAACAGCCTGTTCTCCCAACGAAGAAAGAAGACCCTATCAGCGTTAAATCATCTGCAGTTTCTGGGCGTGCTAAATCGGCCGAATCGATAAAACGTTCAATTCCAGAATGGTTGCAGGTTGAAATCACTCGGTCCTGATTCTCTCACACCTTCTGTTCAGAAAATTGGCTGACTCGTCCATAGGTAGACACTTCTTGACGCTCAGTTGTGGTCCCTCATAGCTGAGTGCTATAAGTTGCTGGCTAGTGTTCCAAGCAGATATTTGTCATGGTTCTGACCCTGAAAGAGCCGATGGACGTTTAATACTGACAAGGCCCAACTGGGGGTGACGGTGGTCTGGTGTTTTTCTATGCATGGAGAGGATTATCGAAATTTTGAAGCAAACACATCCAACCTTCAATTATCAACATCCAAATTACCCACTCATGCGTACAAAACGCAATTTATTTGATCCAGCCAGCATTTGTACAACTGTGTTGAGACTTGCAAACATCTAAGCAGTCACGATCAGCGGAACAATACCACTCTCAAGCAATCTATGTAAAACAAGATGTTTCGAAGTCGTACGCTCCCGCGAACCTAGGGGTGTCGAACCTGTCATCCACGCCCCTCCTACTAAATTCAGGCGTATAATATTTGTAGTTACGTACATTTTTTATTATTGTTTTGGTTCTGCTAATATAGCAATTTATGTTGGCACATTAGTGGATCATTGACGTTAACTAATATGGCGGTTATTCGTTGGCAACAACGGCCAAGTACCTTAACTAATTTGTCAACGTATGGATGCACATTTTCAATATATGCTAAGTTTTTGCGGATGTTCAATCCAACTTCTACATCCTCTGACTGCATCGTTACTAAAGAATGTAAAGCTCAAGTATCTTTTGCAGTTTAGCTTTGGGTTGTCTGTAGGAAGCTACTGGCGATTCTTGATAACCTACGGGTACCTAATGTTTTATTTGACGCAACTTTCGATGCACATTAAACGGGTAAAAACGCGTGCCAATAACAGAGCCCAAACTTTTATTAAAGATACCTTCTGTGTTGCAAAAGTCGAATATTGAAAACTAATACGCTCTACTTTGCGAAGCGTAGTTCGTAGGATTGCACTTACATAGATTACGGATTTGTAGCATCAAGCTAGCTACGATTCAGCCAAGATATACTTCAGATTGTCCAAATGATGAAGCTCTGATAACTTCAAATTCTTAAACATGGTAAATTTACGCTGGTATAATCACTATCAAGCGGATTTCGAAGCCTGTGCAATTCAGCAAAATCACTTTGCACTCTTTTGTTTTGCATAAAGTTTTAAACCTATTAATGGGCTGTTTTTATATCATTTTTGCACTATATAATGTGTTTCATGCTTGCGAATAATCAACCTAAAGGAAGGGTCACGAGTAGAGAAGCATTTTTAGTAAAAGTTTCAGTATCCCCAAACGATTCCATCGAGAGAATTGCATGCAGTGTACAGTATAGGGCACAGAGCTGATTCAAATGCTTAGTGTTCGAATTAATACCTCATAAGCCTAATGTGTGTAGTGGGTTTGGTACAGTACACGTCACACAGGTGCAATGTTTTAACGAAAGCTCAGACGGTAACAGATACAGCCGTGGTCGATTGCGAAACATGTGTTTTGTGTACGACGTACCGAATTTACGAATTGTTTGTGTACTCACAGCTCCACCTTGAAGCCAGGGATACAGATATCTTTAGCAACCGAAAAATGATGCTTTCGAAGTCAACGAGAGCATTTAGCGACAGGAATTCTTTACTATATAGCGGCTTCTCAGTCTGATTCTTGCTGAAAAAAGATATTGTTGCATTAATCAGAAAACGTCAACACTGTATATATTTTAGACATTATTTCCCTACAGTATTTAAGTAACTTCTAATCTCATATACTTTATTTGTTTTGCCTGTCTTTTGCACTTGCCGAGTTGAACAACGAACTTAATTCCACGTATATTTGTGAATTAAGTGTCCAAATGTGGACAAGTTACTTTCCTGCACTTGCAGTACAGTAAGCAATTTCTGATTCAACGTTGGACAAATATTAACAAACCAAATCACATAATCCGTATATACGTTTCGTAACTCAGTTCTCATTCTTGCATATTGAAACGTTGATTAAAGATGAACTGCCGTGGTGAGTAATCGTAAAACATCTTCTTGAGGACTAATTTTCAGTAACTCTATTTGAGATATAGCATTTCAATATTAACATACAGGTCTCAACGGGCCAACCAGTTATGAGAGACTAACAGCGTGTTGCAGATAACAATCTATTTGAATTCAGCTCATATTTACAGTCTCAGCATTGCTCCTAAGATACAGTCAATGGATCAGGATGTCTTGAAAACGATAACCTCGTGTCCATCAAGGGCGAATTGAATGAAATTCCCTTGGATGAAACTCACGTGGCTGTAAATATTTGAGATGTGAACGAAAGCTATAATTCACCAACCTGCAATAGTTCGTTCCCATAACACAGTGCCATGTGGGCCCGTATTTATAGTCCAACCAATTTTTAAGCTTTGTTGGAAACTGACTGAGCGGTTTACTCTCTTCCAACTCAATCACAGCTCGACAAATGACCTCATTTTGCATCTCCACCGGCATGTTGTGATATCCAACTCGAATTTCCATCTCGTCGTCACTCATTTTTAAACAGGTCTATTAATTTTTCTTAATTCCTTCTGACTATATAAATGGATAAATTTCTATCCTCCGATGAAACGAAACGTTCTACAAATGAATCTTCGTTACGCAAGCGGAGCTACGTAGACTGAGTTTAATCGAAAGGCAGACAGGCTGATCGATTTTCTGATGAAGATTTGTGTATCCTTGCTTACTTCTATGGGCGGAACAAACGATGCAGCACATAAGGGCCACCGTGCTTCAAGGTTCATGTGACAAGAAATCGATGTCACCTAGATACATGCAGAGTACCTAGTGTGCCAGTTAAAGCGAGAGAAGCCGAGTACGGCATCCACAAGTGCGCACACTTTCAGCAGTCAGCGTACACTGCCGGTTTTCACGCATGATTTGCATGCGCACATGAGCTCAAAGCCATTTCCGGTTCTGCTGGAAATGAGTCTAATAAGTAACTCATGTTGATGAGATGGAGAAGCATGTCAACAGAAATAGCTCCGGTACTCTATTACAAAAGCTATGTTGACGATATTTTACTTTGTTCGTCGGAGCTGTAGCTCGAATAGTTGGTACTGCGCCTTTAAGGTGCACATACTAACTTACGGGTTACTGGACATCCGCATCAGACGCAGGTAAGATGGATTAATGAAGAAGCACATTTATCGAAAATCGACTTTGTCCGGCCAGCATTTCTCTTCATCGGTTTCACACAACTGTGTTACAAGTGGGCACTTTTGAATACTCTAGTTAGCCGTGCCGGACGAAATTGCTTGGCCGTACTGCCTAACACATGAGCTAGACTTACTTACAACAACGCTCATGGGGAATTATTATCGTTGCAGATATATATTGAAAAACAGTCAACAACGAGGCCTAAATGAATTGGTATATAAGACGGCTAAGAAAATGTTTTATGTCCATTCGCATTTCAAGCATGACTTTACAATGTGAAAGAGCACTAAAGATTAATCCTTACTTGCTGGTGGCTCTAACAAAGGAAGCTTAACCAATCGGTGCCAACCCACACTGAATTTACTAATTTGTCTGTAACCCCAGCCCGTGTTACATAGGCAGAAACCACAAGACTCTGACTTCCCGAATAAAAGCAACATGCGCCGAGATGAGTTCTGGATGAACTTGCCCAAGCAGCCTTATCACATCTACTTCCTTGCTCGCGTTGGCCACCGGCTGCCTCGATAGACAAACACTTGCTGGTCCCTTGTCACCGGATAGAGCTAGACTCAGTTTGCCGGACGGTCTTGCGTCACGCTAATTCCCGCTTTTTTCGGTTTGATTAGGAGGTAGCGATAGACCAGCTTAAGCCAGCCCTGTGGGTACAAAAACAATTGTTTGTCTGCATAAGGCTGCCTCAGACATAGGTGTGCAATTCTGTAATTTACTCTGCACCACAGGCACGTCTGGTCGTATCCAATGTTAGCTATATTTGTGCATATTAGGTATTCGTAATAATCTGGAATGCATGCATCTACCAGATTTTGTCTTCTTCTTGCGCACTTCTTGTATGTAAATCGCCTCATACAATAAAGGTGCTAGATACAAGCTGAGACGATACAATCTGTGTTTTTGAGACAATATGCTCTAACTGGGATAAAAACATATGTTTAAGGGAACCGTAGATTGTAAAAGTAGGGGAGTAAAAATTCCAAAAATACTGAAGTGAACAAAATAAAGCGAGTTACATTGAAGCGACAGAACAATGGCATGTCAGAAGCAGGTTGTGGGAATGAGATGGCAGCATGTAGCAAAAGAGAAAAATAAACTAACCATACACTGATTTGCAGGTTGTTGTGTAACATATTCTAAATTCATAAATTATCCCCTTTTAAGTTAGAAGTAAACAACATGAACGAAGAATATTCTTTTCGATAATTCTTCTCGGCGTACACACTTATGAGGCAAAATCTCAGTCTTCCCATCAGCAAGCCGGGCGTTAAACCTCAGGCACATGTTGAGGTCAATAAACATATTGGGATGCTTGTATTTATGAACTGAATAAGTGCAAGATTCTTAAAGCGTTTAGTGACCTAAACAACTTCCTGAGGTTTAGCGCCCGGCTTGCTGATGCGAAGACTGAGACTTTGCTTAATAAATGCATAGGCCCCGATGAGAATTATCGGAAAAGAATACTCTTCACGCCTTTGCTTGCATTCTAAATTGTAGTTTTATTTAAGTAGGGAATTAAACGGACCGCTTCTTTGGACATCACTCCAATTTGTTTGAGTGAACACTGGCGTGCGAATTTCCGGCTATGATGAGGGCGCGCTCAAAGTGAAACAGATCGTTCGTCTAGGAAAGAGAACCGAGGGCAAAAGTCGACCCATGAGGGTGACTTTTGTCGAAGAGGCAAGTCCTAAATGAATATTGTCCCGCCTTAATAAGCTGAAGGGTCTAAAGATCCAGGTGCGCGCTGACTTAGACCCAGCAAACAGAGAGAAACTCAAGTCTGCGATGAGTGAACTAAAGCGACGCAAGGACGATGAAGAAACAAATCTCAGTATTGTAGATTTTCGGGTAGTTATCCGGTTTCCTTCGCGAACTCGGATCAAATGGTTTCTGATGCTTCAGGCGCGCCCAGTGGTTCCTACCGCGGGCAGCTGGTAATCTTCACTAACGTCGGCAGTTGGATGAACAAGCGCGATGAGCTGTACTACTTTGTAACCTCTCAGCGACCAGACTTATTAGGCCTTGCTGAGATATGCTTAAACTTCGAGGTAACCACTCAAGAAGTGGAAATCAGCGGCTACCCATGCTTCCGCTGTGATAGACCATCAAATGGTCGCAGTGGCGTACTACCTTACATAAAGTCTTCTTTGTGTGGGAGAATAGTGAGCGTTTACCGGAGCGCTGATGGTCCATGTGAGCAGTGATGGTTCTCGATCCACCTCAGACGCTGCGAGTTGCTCGGGGGCATGGTCTATCGCAGTCCACTGAGCTGCTGCTTAGATTGGTTGCCGCATGTCCGCAACCACATGAGTTGTCATCTGGTCCTACTCCTGGTCGTTTTCAACTTACCCTGAATACAGTGGCCTGAGGCTGAACTTCTCCCCGGCCATGATGAAGTCGAGCGGAAGTTTACGGAGTTGATATTTGAGACCGGGGCTACACAGCACATCAACCAACCGGCATGCATAACTGCTCGTGCGACTCCATCGTGTTTAGACCTGCAGTTGATCAGCTGTGAGCAACGTGTGCACGACATTCAAGTCTTAGATCCTCCTCCAGCGAGTGACTACTGGATGATCACAGCCAGCTTGGAACTGCCGCTGCCGTATTCTCGCCAGCTGGAGCCAGCCTTCAACTACTGGAAGAAGGACTTTAATGGCCTCACTCGAGCAGAAAGCCAGATGGTCAGGTCTTTTCCAGAGGATTCGTCTGTTGAAACTTGTTGGACTATCATTAAAGAGGGAGTGAAATCAGTGTGCGCCCGATTTGTACCCCTCAAGTATAAGAAAATTGGGTCAGTTAAACCACACTGGTTCGACAGGGAGTAGAGCAAACTGGCCCGACGACGAAGCAGACTATTAAACAAATTCGTGTTATCTGGTTCTGATGAAGACTACAAAGCGTACGAGGTACAGTGCAATCTATGCAACAACGCGAAAACAAAAAACGCAGAAGCTTCGAAGAGTAGCTTGCAACCGCCGCAAGAACTGCTCCCAAGAGGATCTTCGCCTACGTGAAGCGGCGTCTGAGGCCTACAGGCAATGTTGCAGTGTTAGAAGGCCCAGATGGACAGCCCCTAATCTCGCGAACAGATCGTGCTTCCTCATTGGCGGCGCACTTCGCCTCCGTATTTGCAAGTGGGCAGGTGTCTGTAACTAGTTATACGAGTACCGCTGCCGCTGAACTAGACAGCCTAGACTGCAACACTGAAGGTGTACGCAAGCTTCTAGCAAGTTTTAACGGGACGAAGCCTGCTGGGCCAGGTGGAATCCACCCACTGATTTGCAAGTCCCTATCGGCCACCTTCTCGTCTTCTGTAACTGAGCTGTTCAACAGGTCACCGTCCACTGGAATATTACCGGCAACTGGAAATACTCAGTCGTAAAGCCAATCCCGAATGGTGTTAACCCAAGCAAAGTGGATAACTACCGGCCGATCTGCCTGACCGCTGTTTTGCCAAGGACGCTTGAGAAGATCGTGAAGAAAAGCCTTCTGAAGCTTCTGGAGTTGAAAAGCCTCTTGAGTCCCGCACAGCATGGTTTCGTGAAAGGTCGCTTGTGCATCATCAACCTACTGTTGAGGAGGCACGAATGCTTACCAGCGCTGAACCAAGGCAAAACGGTCGACCTTATTTACAGTGACTTCAGTAAGGCTTTTGACAAGGTACATCATGCGGTGCTCCTCGAGAGGCTGAGGGTGTGTGGTATTGGTGGCTCGCTGCACCAACTGATCATAAATTTCTTTGTTCATCCAAAGTGCAGGGTCCTGGTGGACAAGCATTTAACCGACTGGTACCCATCGAGCAGTGGCGTGCTCCAAGGCACTGTACTGGAGCCGATTTTGTTCCTGATCCATGTAAACGATGTGCCTCAGCTACTCCAATGATCTTGTGCGTTGTTCGAAGATGACTTGAAGGTATGGAGAGTATTCCGCACACCCAATGGTTGTGACCTGCTTCAGCAGGACCTCGACCGCCTCTTCACGTGGTCTGCAGAGGTCAACCTTCCGATCAACCCGGTCAAGTCGCAATACATGAGGCTGGGTAAGTGTGGGCATAGTCGAATCTACACGATGCCTGGTCAACCATTGCATCCCACGCCTTCCGTGCGCAACCTCAGTGTACTCTCACGCTACTACTTAAAGTCCATGGACAACACGAATAGACTTTATCAAAACAGCCTTCGTATGCTTTGGGCGCTCAGATGCAACGTCAGCACTTGCTTTGAAGAGATTGCCACTCTCCTCGTCGTCTCAATAATACGACCAATGCTAGAGTATGGCTCTCCCGCGTATTGTCATATCACCTGGGGAGAGGTAGAAATATTGATCGAGTACAGCATGTAACCCCCAGGCTGATTCCCAAGTTACGAGGTGTGCCGTAAGAAGACCGGTGTATGAAACTAGGGCTTTACACCGTAGCTTATCGTCGAATGCGGTTTGACCCCATCATGATGCAGCGAATACTACATCTGGGGGATTAC